TCCAAAAGATTCTAGGACAATAGGAGCAACATTGTCTATGACAACCTGTACAACAATATGCTCCCCAACCTCCTTGATTCCCTTCTCTATAACTTGAAATGTGTAATGGGTATCATGGATATAATCAGAAGCATCAATAGACATCAAAAAAACAGTCCCCAAAGGACAATTCACAAACAAATTCATCTGACTTCTTCTCTTCCTATCACTCCAAGCATCAGCCATGATAGAAATTCCATACTGAGCCCATGCATCCTTCTTAACTTCTACAGCATCCTTCGTGACACTTACCGCTTTTTTAAATGAGGCTTTGAAAGCTCATATGGGGTTGAGGGTTTCATCCCAGGCCCAAATTGGCCAATTGCCTCTACCAAGGTATACAAGCTGCTTAGGCGAGCGATATTGAAAGGAATGCTCGTCTCACAAAACCATGTAGCAATAAAAAAAACAACTCTATCTCTCTCTTCCTTCTTCATTCTATTTTCAATAGTGGTTTGCTTCTTTGTTTTCTCTCCTGCAACCTCAAGATCAGGCTGGGGAAAAAACTATCCATAGGGCCTCTAACCCGAGGCTTCTTACTTCCCGAACCAAAAGCAATTACAACTCCCTTACCCTTCCCTGGTTCCCCCTAATAATGGATTGTTCTACCTCTTGACATCTCTCCCCATCCTCATCACTATCATCATCATCATAACTGACCCGAAACCTAGACCTAATCTCTATTATGGAGGCAAATTTCTCATCTTTTTTCATTTTTACCATACTCAAAAAATTGTTAATTTCCTCTTTAACAACATCAAGAGTCTTTTTACATGGAGCAACATCTAATTTCCTCTTTAACAACATCAAGAGTCTTTTTACATGGAGCAACATCTCCTCTGATACCAGCAAGAAGTTTCTTGAACCGGTTTATGACCCCTTTTGTATCCCTCGAACAAAACTTGTATGTTATGCAATTTTTATCATTAGGATCTGAGTTGTAGCCATAGTTCCAACAGGGATCACCACTCCTATTAGATCCCGAATAAGACATCTCAAAATAACACAACTTATACAGGCAATAACAAAAATCACTTACTTTGATTGCTCAATCTCCAAACTTCCACCTCAAAGATGCTTCTAAAGACTCAAAATATTCTAAAAAACCCTCCAATAGATTTATAAAACATCACAAATTAAATATAATATCAATAGGTGATGTTTTGATCAATTTCTCATAAATTTGAGAAACCCCTTTGATCCTAAAGAAATCACCAAAATTTGGTTTTCTAAGGTTTTTCTCTTTCTAAAATGGTCTCTAATATGTTTTAGGTTACAAATAAACCTAAAAACAAGGAATTTAGCCCTTTAGTATCCAAAAAAAAAGGACAAAAAATGCCCCTACCAAAACTGTTTTCCACTTCTGAGCGGGGCGGAGTCCCTAGGCGGCTGCCCAGGTCTAGGCAGCTTCCTGGGCGCCTAGGCGGGCACCAAAGGATTTCTGCTTATTTCTGGCACCTAGGCCTAAGCGATGCTCCCAAGCCCCCAGGACCGCCTAGGCGGCCGCCCAGGCGCTAGGCGGTCCTCTTTTTGAAACATTGTCTTCTTCCCAATGTTGTCTTGCTTCTAATAATTGGGAAGACCATGTGATATTGTTCGTTGAGTCTGACCAGTTGATGGTTCATAATTCTGATTATCTTCAGTCTGAGCAGATGCAAGACCAGAAGAAGCAACATAACAGAGGATGTCGTTTCTTCAATACATAGTCAAACCCTCGAGATCCTCAACAAAACTTGGACCCTGGATTGCCACCTTTTAAACTTTACACCATCCAAACATTCCAGTATCACAAGATCTTGGGTCATGCCTTTCAGTGAGTTTCAAGTATCCATCTCATATTATTGACAACAGTTCAAAATTGCTAGTTTTTCCTTATTCCCTTATACAAATTTAGGTACAGGCCCCCTTTTCCAGTAAGCATTTTGGGAATACTCCTTAACCTAGATAAACCTTAAGGGTTTAGGTTGGGTTTTAGAGCTATATGAGTTATGTGGAGAGAGATACAAAATTAAATAAAAACAAAAAAAATACAAGGGACCTGGAGCCACAAGATCATCCCGCTTCCTTCAAAGTGTTAACGCCCTTGACAAGATTCAATTAGTCATGTCAAGCACACACACCTAGGATACACTAGCACAACCGAAAAGCATCATAAGAATCCAACTTGTAGTCCCAAAGATCTTTTTAAAATCACAGCTCTCCTTTGATTTTTGTATTCAAATTGGTAGGGATTTCGATAAACTCTTGATTTGACACTAATTTCACCAAAAAACTGACTTCTAATAAACAAAAATTTGAATCGAAACTTTCACCCCTAGAGAAAGTTTGAAGACAGAGCAAACAGGGCTTGAGTTCAGTTGGAGAAAATTTGAGCAGAGTAATATACATCTCTGTGTGTGTGTGCACGGTTTGCGTGTACTACAAAGTAAAACCACATGTTAAGCAAAGAAGTAGTTACATGCCTCACTAGAAAGGAAGACACATGATCAATAGAAAATAGGCAAATGGTATTTTAATTTATATTTAAATATATATAGAAAAGCTAAAAACATGTAGAACACCAAGAGGAGACAAGAAAGAAGGGAACAAGCCCTTAAATAAAGAGTAATGCAAAACATGTAGAACAACAAGAGGAGGCTCAAATGGCCTCCTCAAAGTTGCTTGGAGCAAAAAAGTCATGTTCAATCATGAAAAACTAGAATTTTTCGATCGCGGAAAACTTTATTTTGCCACAATGGATAATTCTCTTTTTAAAAAACAAAGGAATGGCCAACATGCAATCCAAAAAATCAATTCAACAAAAAATTAGTTGAAATGCAACAACACATGTATGCTTCCTTGCTCAATGCACACGTGCATACACACGTGTCACAATTCCCTTAAGGGAGACTAAGAACCTAAGACAGTGCACACTGAACAACCTACCTAAAAGACAGCCAACATAAATCACTTATTAAAAGCATGCTTCAGGAAAATTTTGAATAGAATGCTTGTAATAACAAACCAAACACAAAAATCTAACAAACAAAACAAAAGCACAGCCAACGTGTGCTCAGAACCAGATAATCTAGAGCACCTCAAAACCCCAAATTGTTAAAGAACAACAAACTTAACTGCAAAAAACACAACCAAAAATCACAAAAAGTATGAGCTCAAAAGATCACCTGAAGGCCACTGCCAATCATTCTATTGACCGCATTGTTGCCGCCGCCACCAATGCCAATAACCTTTATTCTTGCAGTCTCAGACACATTGATAAGAGCACAATAACAACCAGAGAAGAGATTTTGGGGCTTCCGGGTCTTTCCTTTTGGTGAGGGGAGGAGAGAGAGAGGAGGGAGGAGGAGGCTTCGATATGTTTTGCTCGTGTGGGTGCTGGGGATTTGAGTGTGCGAGGGTTTAGAGAGAGGAGAAAGAGAGGAGAGAAGTCCCTTGGTTACGGGAAGGGTTTGTAGGGCAGCGGCGGTGTTGCCGTCGCAGCACTGCATCTTCGTCGATCAATCACTAACGCCTCGCATTCACCAACCAAATACCATACAAGCTTCTTTTATATCTATTCCCATTTAACTTGCATGAAGATCCACTCAAGCTACGCGAGTGAAGGAAAAATCCAACAGGATGGTAACCGGATATGGCCTAATCCAATAAATCGCCTGGTTGAACCGGCTCTTAAAAAAATACAAAAACTAATTTAATAAAATATATAAAAAATTTGACGAAACACCTATTGAAAGTTAATGAAAAACAGATTTTAAATAATCGATTAGAGCACAAAGATATTTTTAAAATTTTCTAAAAAAAAGATGAATAATGTTAAAATAAGTATTAATGGTTCAAACAATTTTCAATCTTTGTCATAATGAGAAGGGTGTAGTTGGCATACAGATGCATCCGTAGGTGTAGAGGTAAGGTGCACCTTCAAATTTTATCATGGTATATAATTTTGATGTAAAATGTTCTTAGAATTATCTCAAAATCTATTTTTATATGTAATTATAAAATTTTAAATTTCAAAAATGGTTAAAATCAAGTAGATCTATAGACATGTGAAAATCTTGAAAATTGACAGTGTAGATAATATGTTGTAAAATGCACTATTTTTTAGACTTAAAATCTTTTTATTTTTCATAGTCATACATCTTGATGTCGAGATCATCAATCAATGGTTTTTTAACATTAAAATTACCTTTTCCGATGGATCTTTGAAAGGCATCCGTAGTTCTACATTAGAAGGTTGCATCCTTATATAAACTTTTTACTAATGAGAAAAACATTAAAAAATGCATTGCAAACAAAATCCCTTATTTTTTAGAATTTATATATTTTTTAAAAAAATAAAAAACATGGCAGTTACCAAAATCGGCCGAAACTGGAACCGGACGGCCAGTTCCCGTCTAACCGGACAATTACCAGTAAAATGCGCCCGATATTTTCTTTAATGGGTATGGCCATTAATAAGACAGAATGGCAAAATAAGATTCATGTAGTGGCACTAAATAATTGGAAAAAGGCTCTGATGATGATGATAAACACGATACCAATTGATGCATAATATAAGGGCGTATTCTTGTCCACAAATATTAGGTTAGATCATAATGCACAGTGTAAGAGCGTATTCTTGTCCACAAATATTAGGTTAGATCATACGAGACTAGTGACACTCGGATCCGACTTGGATCGACAAATAGGCATAAAAGGGGAAAGTAACGTAAATATCTTTTGCCTTTCTAATATAAAGTAATGTTTTAAAAATTGGTGAATAAAATCGAAACTGACCAGTTCAAATCGAGAATCGTCAGCACCAATCTGGTTCTGCCTAAATATCACCAGCTGGGAACTTAGCAGTTCTTACCGGTCATGTCAAAGAACTAGTCCCACTTTATTTTTTAATATTTTTATTTTTTTGTTTCCTAATATTTAATATTTAATTTTTATTTATTTGTTTATTAGGCCAGATTGCCGACCGTGTAGGTTTTGTGGAGGGACAATCTAGGTTACCGAACCATGTTTTTAAGCCTTGATATAAAGAAACCATTTTGTCTTATTCAAATTTTATGCACATGCGTTTTAATTTCTTCCAACACAATCTTAGTTCGAACGATCTTTTTTTTGGCTTAATTTTTTTGTTTGTATTGTAAGTTTTCAACAACAACAACAAAAAAAAAAAAACTTGGTTTGAAACTTGAAGTTTTGAACCGAATACTCTTACTTTTCCTTTCGATAATAGGTTAGTTTGGAACTTGGACTTCCGAAACGACTAAAAGACCAGTTAGGAACTTTTAAGTTCCAAACCGTCCAACCCTCTAAAAAAAGGCAACACAATGTGCTTCATTGAGTAAAAATTGAAAAATTATTTTTGTTTTAAAATAACTACCTAGTATTTTGTAAGGTTCTTGGGAACCCCTAGGAATCCCAAATATCGGGATCCCACCCAAGATCGTGTACATGATTAGTTAAATGCAAAGTAGATGAATACAACTATGAATCATGTACGAGAAATAAAGCACACATAAAAAGCATACCACCACAACACATGATTTACGCGGTTCACCCCAGAGGGCTGGATCAACGGCCTCAGCAAGTATAAATCTACTATTACAATGAATAGTACAATTTTGGGTTACAAGAGATAATATCTCTTTCTAGACAATGGTAAGAAACCATCATCGATCTTCCCTTCTAAACTCACTCTCCCGACCGAGCAATACCGTAGATCTTTATTTTCTTTCCCACCACAATAACACTATTGAAAAGATAACGTTGAGAGCAACCGAGAGATTTTCTCTCTCTAGAAGTGGAAGCCTTACCAACTCAAAACTCATGAGAATACCGTGCCTCTATCAGAGATCATGTTTCTCTCTCTTGGAGACCATTCTTATTGACAATTTCGAATTCAAGTTTTGAATCACACCCACTCCAGCTTGGATGAAGAGCAGAATAAACATCATTAAAAAGATAGGGGGTAGTATGGTAGGGTTTACCTGGGGCAGCAAGCTGTGAAGAAGACTGTGAAGTGTGAGATGAGAAAGTAGGCACATTGTCCCGGGCTGAACTACAGACATAGTCATTAAGATATGTCGGTTTGTGGGAGATCCGTTGGGAGCGTCGTGTGGAAAACGATAAGCTGTTAAGGGATGATGGTGAGTGGGTACGTATGGGAACGCCATTATCAGTTGGTTGTTGGTCATCAGAGACAGAGGAATTAGAGTGTGTAGGGAGTGTAGTTTGTGTTGATGAAGATGACTGGTGTTTAGGTAGAACGAGATTATCAATAGTTCCATCATATTGGGCTTCAGGGATAAAAGATAGAGAGGTGGTGGTAGATGGTAAAGTGGTTTGAAAAGGAAAAGATCACATACTTGCTAATGAATTTTTTTTTAGAATTAAGATCATATACCCTATAGCCTCATTGTCCAAGTGGATAACCAAGACAAATACAACATTTTGCCCGAGGGTCGAACTTGTGTCTTTGAATGTCATTTTTATGGGCATAGCAAAGACATCCGAAAACGCGAACATGATCATATTTGGGCTTGCATCGAATGAGTATTTCATGTAGAGTTTTTTTCATAAATAACATGAGTATGCATTCGGTTTATTAAGTATACAACCATTAGAACACGTTCTCCCCATAAAGCTATTGGTATGTTAGCTTAGAAACGCAAGGCACGTGCTACCTCCAAAAGGTGGCAGTGCTTGCGTTCAGTAACACCATTTTGTTGTGGGGTGTGCACACAAATTTCATTGTTGTAATATACCTTGCTCATGAAAAAGAGTTTGCACGGAATTAGATAAGAAATAAGTGACAATGTCTATTCTAACTTGTTTGACATAACAATGGAACTGAGTTCTTACCATGGCAAGAAAGTTTTTCATAAAAGGATATGTTTCAGATTTGAATTTCATTAAGTATATCCAAGTACATCTAAAGGTCATCCACAATGGTAAGAAAATAATGCGCACCTGAATGAAAATAGGAGAGATAACCTCCCCAAATGTCACTGTGAATAAGTCCAAAAGAAGAAATCTAGAAATAAATGGGAAACAAGTCTGTTTAGCCAAAATGCATACATCACAAGGTGCAACAGAACATGGAAAAATATCTAAATAAGATGAAGATAAACTAGCCAAACTATGTCGGGATGGATATCTTTGTTTGCGATGCCAAAGTTTAGAGTTTGAACCATGATGTGCAAGAAGAGCAACTCGTTTATTTCTTGGTGGTTGAACATAGTAATACAACCTATCTCTCATCTCACCCAGTTCAATTAGCGTTTTCATTTTCAAGCCCTAAAAAAAATCCCTTCCCATAACCTGCAAAGGGGTGACCCTAAAAAAGATGGGTATTATGTCAATATCACTTTCTTGCTTCTTAAAAAGTTTGTTTTTTTACCATAATATCATTAATCTTTAGAAGAAAATATGGGTACGGTGATTTGGCTATCCCCAAACCCAATAATCTCTACCTTGATAGCAAAATCACTATAAATTACCTTGACAACCTTTATTAATAGATTTCGTGATTTCTTCTCAATTGCCTCCATTGTAGAATTTTCACAAATACTTTGCCTTTATATTTCTCCACCTCAAACTATGTATCCATCAAGCTTCATCATTCATCTTTTTCTTAATGTAAGCCTTAGCCCTTTACATACCTTGTGCTTTGATACCAATTGTAGGGTTCTCAAGAACCCTAGCTTGCGGAACCAGGAATCCCAAATACCGGGATCTTACATAAAATCGTATGCATGATTAGCTAAATGTGAGATGAATACCACTATGAATCGTATGCGAGAAATAAAGTAAACAAAAAAAGCACACCACTACAACACGTGATTTACATGGCTCACCCCGTAGGGTTACATCCATGGCCTCGGCGAGTATAAATCTGTTATCACAATGAAGAGTACAATTTTAGGTTATAATTTAAAATACCTCTCTCTAAACATCGTCAATCTTCCCTTCTAAACCCACTCTCATGACCAAGTAACACCATCGATTTCTATCTTCTTTCCACCGCAATACTGTTGCCGGAAAGATAACCTCGAGAGCAAAATCTCTATAGAAGTGGAAGCCTTACCAACCCAAAACTAATGGGAATACCGCATCTCTCTCGCAAGTCATGTCTCTCTCTCTCTCTTGAAGACCAATCTCCATATTGGAAATCCCTTCCCATAACCCCCAAAGGGGTAACTTTCAAAATGATAAGTATTTGTCTTCCTTGACTCTCTAATATAGATATCACTTTCTTGGTTCCCCTAATCATTAGAAGAAAATATGGGTATGGTGATTTGGCAATCACCAAACCCAACATATTCTAAAGTCGATCCCATATTTTTAAAAACACA